AGTCTGCTAAATGGCTCTTTGATGTGAAAAGCCCAGATTGTCTGTTAACAGCATCAATTATCTGTGTCCATCTTTCTCAGAACAACTCTGAGACCTTAATCCTTGCAGTGTAAAATCTACAGTTTATGTCTGGGCTGATAAGCCACAAAGGCTGTCTTTGGCATCTGATATTAAAAGGTGCGCAGAGCAAACACACGCCAAGTGGCTTTGAAATGTCTCTCCTGCTTTTTCAGTGTCCGCTCAGAGAGAACCAGTAAAATAAGGCCTTTGCAGAGGGAGGGGAAAGCCAATATATTCTTAGAGGAAATTGTGAATAAACTAAAACAGGGAGTGATTGTTTCTCACTGAATTAGTCATTCAGGAGTTAAATCATCGTTAGTGATAGTGGCTTCCTTCCCAGGTGTATGTGCTGTTGCCATCTGGGTGCTTGGAGACCAGAATTAAAGTGGTAAAGTTATGACTAAGCCAGCTCATCACCCCACTCATATCGTCCTTAGCAGAATGAACCCAGGAAGATCTTCCCCACACAAGAAATTAAGACTCTCCAGAAAGTAACAGAACTGTAATCACTTTGTCCCCTTAGATCAGTTTCTGTGATCAGTAATTGTTTCTAACATTGGATCAGCAGCCTTACCCAGGCTACATTTTGCTAATAGTTTGTATAGTTTCATGTTTATTTAATTTTAATCTTAGTGAAGAATGTAGAACTGCTCCATGTGATCACTCTACTGGTACATACCGCCAGGTGGCCCACCTCACAGTCCTATCTGGTTGGAATCCTGGTGCATCTAGTCTGGTCTCTCGCCTCCCTTCCATACTGGATTGAATCAGTTGTGCGGGTGATCTAGTCCAGTTTTCTGCCACCATTTCAGGTCAATATGGATACTGCAGATGTTCAGGTTCATCATTCCCCTTTCTAATTGTACCATGGTGGTCGTGGAGCACAGCCCAGCAGGAATTTCTTCCTGCTGTGTGCAGTGATTTAGCTTCCGCCCGAAAACATGATTCCCCTCATCATTGTCTTAGCTTCTCTGAGAACAAATCATGTGAGTGGTCAAGGAATTACCCAGCTCTTTTACTCGATGCACCATTGGCGCCTCTGGCCCCTGAGGCCATGGGTCTCTCACACTTACAAATAAATTGGTTAGTCTCTAAGGTGCCACAAGTACTCCTTTTCTTTTCACACTTCATGGTGTGCAGTAGCTGTTTCACTCATTAGCTCTATATGTGCTGCCCTTTCATCAAGGGCAAAGGAGGGGCCGTTTTCACTGTGTCCTTCATTATCACATAACAGCCCTGGAGGCTTCCTGCTGTTAGCCCCTTCCTCCTACCACCTCCCCCTCAGGTAGCACAGTTAGTCCGGTTTTATGTTAACAGTATCATGTGAAGCATCTTATGTTACATCTTTTAAGATTGCAGCTGACCTGTGAATAGCTTGTCAGCAGGCAATACTCATAGGGTAGAGAAGATCTGTTTCCCCTAATTAGACCCAATGAAGTTCCAGTTATCCTGCTTTGTCCTTAATCAGACCTTCCCCTCAGCTGGCTTGGTGCTGAGAGGAGGCTACTGCTCTGGGGCTGACAGATAGTCATGCATGTCTTGCTCCATCTCCAGGGGATGGGTCTGTCTTTGCGATACACTGGGCCTCACACTTTCCTCCCTCCAGAGTCCTTGGGTGATGCTGTCGAGACCTGGTGATTTACTGCACTCAAATCTCTCCAGTTGCCCCATAACTCCCCTGCTAGAGACTTTGATCTCTGCCAAGAACATGCTCTGATTTCCTGTGACCAGTGCCCCAAAAGGGGCATTTCTCTTTTGATGAAGTGATGAACAATGCCCTGGCATTGCCCTTTCCCCACCTTTCTATTGCCCTCTCCTCCCATGGGGGCCCTAGATGACTCTTAGTCATGCTTCTTGCATTCATATGTAGTTGAACCCAAGATGGCCCAAGGAGATGAGCTTTGGAGATGTCAGACAAAGGTACAGGGGCTGGGTTGAGATAAACCTGGCTCAGGTTTGGGTTTGGATTGGATGGAGCTACAGTTCAATGAGCTGTTCTCATGAGATCATGGCCCAAATTGGGAAACCTCATAAGATCAGCCATTCTTGTGGGTCTGCCACGAGGTGGGCCCCATCTGAACTGGATCTAGGAAACAGGCTCTGCTATTTGAGGATTCTCTGTGGAATCATAGCCATAGACACTGCTGTGAATCAGACTGGAGCCTCCAACACCACAACATTCACTGAGGTTTGGATTCCATCCTTTGGTTTCAGTCCCTCTCCCCTGTTGTGCATAAATGGTAAAGTGTCCCCCTTGAGGCAGGGGAGAAGAAGAGAGACCCTCCTTGCTGCGCACACTGCTCTGTAGCTTGGGAAAGATGCACTGAGCTAAATGCTTATAAGTTCTACTCCCAGCTTCTTTAACTGCTCTAGTTATTTCTGTGTTCTTCACAACTCATGTGCCTACCTCAGAGGTAGCAGCTATCCTTCACCTATTTTACAGAGAATGTAACTGAGAGGCTGGGTGAATTTTCCACAAGCAGAGCTGGAAATAGACTCCTACCTAGACTTTAAGGTCAGAAGGGACCATCCTGAACATCTAGTCTGACCTTCTGCACATCGCAGGCCACAGAACCTCACCCACCCACTTCTGTAACAGACCCCTAACCCCTGGCTGAGTTACTGAATTACTCAGATCATGGTTTAGCGACCTGCAGTTACAGAGAGTTCACCATTTACACTAGACAGACACGGGGTTGTGAGGCTGCTACTGTCTCCGTGCTAATGTGCATTTTCCTTTCGTTCAAGTGGCCGCAGCTCAGGCTTTTCCCACATTCAGTCCCTGCAGGTGGCTACACTTGAGTACTATAATGTCTTTAGCTGCTTTACCACACTCTGATCCCAGAGCCAGGAAGGGCCAGACTGCCTTGGCATGTATGTGGCCTGCTGAAGTCCTAATTATACATATATGGATGAACTGGTAACCTCCAGGGACATGTGATGATTGTGCTATTCCCTGGCTGAGAGAGGGGCTCTAGCCATGTGAAAAAATGACTGCATTCTCCCTGTAGTGAGGCTCTCCCACCCTACACTGTAGCCAGACAGCACCGAGCTGCTCAAGCGCAGTGGGTCAGTCTATGTCACTGGATTTGTTTGGAGGCAAGGAGAGAGCGGAAGAGACACGCTGTAGCCTGGTGGTAGCAGAGGGGAACCTTGGCACTGACGAGATGCAAGTGCCTCAAGCCCTGGCTGAGGAGCTTCTGAACCTGCCCCTCTGGTTACCTGCATGAATGCAGTGAGCACCTTCTCTGTAGCCTGTCCATTTCTAATATATTTGTTTTTGAGATGAGGTGACCAGAACTGCACACAATATTCAAAGTGTGGGTGTATCATGGATTTATATGGCAGCATTCCGATATTTTCTGTCTTATTATCTATCCTTTTCCTAATGGTTCATAACATTCTGTTCGCTTTTTTGACTGCCGCTGCATAGTGAGTGAATGTTTTCAGGGAACTATCCATGATGCATCCCTTAATACAGTACATGACCTATTGTGCCTTATTTATAATGCTTAACCTTGAAAGTTAGATGTTTTTCCCCTGATTCTTTCTTTTTACAGAAAAACAGCCTTTAACACAGTTTTGATAGAGGCTCAGGGATTCAGTATATTTATTTTTTATTTAAATGTTTTAGAGATTCTACTAAGTTTAGCCTTAACATATTTTGTATTACATTTAAATTTCATTTTAAACAGGTTTAGTTTTACAAAGAAAAATATATTACAATTTAAAATAACAAAATAAAAAAATCCTGTTTAAATTAAAAAGATTCTCCACCCTGCAGTGAAATCAGACCTCCTTTCAGTTTGTCTGAAAAACAATCTTCAAGTGCCACACATGATTGCCACAAGTGCCCTGCTCTCTGGAAGGTACTTGGCAGCACAGGGCTGACAGGCTCTGGAGAGCAGCTCATTTTCCTATTTTCCTAAGGGAAAAGTAATCCCAAATCACTCATTTCACCTCCAAAGTATACCCCCAGAGTCTCTTAGGAGACAGCCCCATTGTGCAGTCACCCTCTCATTGGTGGCAGGGAATGTGTCTGGGAGCAGCAGGAAGGCAGGATTGTGGGGTCAGGCCATATGGTTTTATCATTAGCCTCTATACTTGGTAACTCTGTAAAGGAATTGAAGGGACAAAGAACCATGGCACGGAGGTTCAAAGTAGGAACTATCCTGTCCTTCCCTACTGGCCACCTATGCTACAGTGACAGGACCTGGGTATCTATTAGGGACTGCCCTGCCCTGCCTTGCCTCTTCCCCACATTACAGGGACAGATCCTGGCTGAATTTGGCAGGGCCAGGTTTGCTTCTTTCTCCCTAAATGGCATTTGACATGGAGAAACAGTCATTGAGAGCCCAGGCTGGCCCTGAATTCAGAGCAGGGAATTCTGTTTAGATTTTCCTTTTGAAAAGATCCCAGATTGATATACGTGGCCTGTCAAGGGCCAGGCTGCCATGGCCTGTCCATGACCTTGCCAAGGGCCAGGCTGCCATGGCCTGTACGTGGTCTGCCGAAGTCCTGATTACACATATATGCATGAACTGTTAACCTCCAGGTACATGTGAGGAGTGTGCAGTTCCGTGGCTGAGAGAGGGGCTCTAGCCAGGTGAAAAAATGACTGCGTTCTCCTTGTAATGTGACCACCCTACACTGCAGCCAGACAGCACCCAGCCTCTCAAGTGCAGTGGGTCAGCCTATGTCACTTCTTATGCTAAACAATCTGTTCAAATCTTGTATTTAGCAGTGACACTTTGAGTTAGTTTCCCAGACCTGAAGAAGAGCTCTGTTTAAGCTTGAAAGCTTGTTTCTCTCACCAACAGAAGTTAGTCTAATAAAAGATATTACCTCCCCCACCTTGTGTTTCCTCTGCGAATGTGTGTGAAACCCTTTCTCTGATCGGATACCGGACACCGATTCATGTTGCCCCCATCTCTTTGCAGTGGATTTTTCTGGGCCGATCAAACAGTCTATTTAATTGAGCCGTTGGGAGGTGATGATAAGGGGGAGCATGCGGTGTACCGAGCGGATCACCTGAGAGTGAAGCGTGGGACCTGCGGAGATGCCAATGTCACTTTGGAATACGACCATGAACCGAAAGTTGCTGCCGCAATGAAGCCCCATCACTGGGTAGGAAATCACCCTGTTCCTCTGTGTTGTAGTTTTAATTTGTAGGAATGTAGGGCCTGATCCAAAGCCCAATGAGGTCAGTGCGAGTCTTTCCATTGACTTTGCTGGGCCTTCGATCGGGTCCCTAGCACAGTGCCTGATTGCAAAGGTTCTGCACGCACTTGCTGGGGGCCTGCAAGGAGCTGGCTGGTCACACAGTACCAGCATCTCCTCCTCATTTCCAAGGGATACTGAAAGGAGGAGCACATAGACACGGGCTGAGGAGATTTCAAAAAGGCTAAGGCATTTCTCACACTTCAGATACTTCACTGCCTCCTAAGTGGAAAGTCTGGCTGTGAGCAATTGCTGTAGTTGTCCCTGGGATGTCAAGGCCCCAGCATTGGGTTCAGGAGACCCAGATTCAGTTCTCTCCTGCACCACAGACTCCCTGTGTGACTTAGGTAACTCACATAGTCTGTCTTTCCCTCCCTTCCCGTCCTCTCTGACCTGGACAAATGCAGGCCTGGCTGCAAAGGCAATCCTCATTTCATTGCCGCCTCCCCTTTCCCACCATATCAAACACAGACTGCATGTCTTTACCTTTGAGATCCTCCAAGGCTTAGCCTGACCCATTAATGACTGCTGCTTAAAGCAGCTAGTTCTGGAACCCACAAGGGGAGAGGTGATTCTTGATTTAGTCCTAAATGGAGCACAGAATTTGATCCAAGGGGTGACTATAGCTGAACTTGGTAATAGCAACCATGATGTAATTATATTTAACATCCTTGGGGGTTGGGGGAAGAAGTACCAAAGAAACTCACCACAGTTGCATTTAAACTTCAGAGAGGGGAACTACACAAAAATGAAGAAGTAAGTTAAATGGAAATTAAAAGGAGCAGTCACAAGAGTGAAATGCCTGCCAGTTGAATGGAAACTTTTCAAAATCACCAAAATAAAGGCACAAATAAATGTGTACCCCAAATAAAAAGAATAGTAAGAGGACCAAAAAAATGCCAGCATGGTTAAGCAACTGTGTAAAAGAGATGGTTGGAGAGAAATAGCATCCTTTAACAACTGAAAGTCAAATCCCACTGAGGGAAATAGAAAGAAGCATAAAATATGTCAAGTCAAGTGTAAAAGTATAATTAGGCAGGCCAAAAAAGAATTTGAAGAGCACCGAGCAAAAGACACAAAAACTAACAGCAAATTTTTTTAAGTACACCAGAAGCAGGAAGCCTGCCAAACAATCGGTGGGGCCCCTGGATGATCAAGGTACTAAAGGAGCGCTCAAAGAAGACAAGGTCATTGCAGAGAAGCTAAATGAATTCTTTGCATCAGTCTTCACAGTGGAGGATGTGAGGGACATTCCCTCACCTGAGCCATTCTTCTTAGGTGACAAATCTTAGAAACTGTCCCAGACTGAGATATGAATAGAGGAAGTATTGGAATAAATTGATAAATTAAACAGTAATATGTCACCAGGACCAGATGGAATCCACCCACAAGTTCTGAAGGAACTCAAATATGAAATTGCAGAACTACTAACTGTGGTGTGTAACCTATCACTTAAATCAGCTTCTGTACCAGATGACAGGATGATAACTAATGTGATGCCAATTTTTAAAAAGAGACTTCAGAAGTGATCCTGATAATTACAGGTCAGTAAGCCTAACTTCAGTACCTGGCAAACTGATTGAAACTATAGTAAAGAAGAATTATCAAACACATAGATGAACATGATTTGTTGAGGAAGAGTCAACTTGGCTTTTGTAAAGGGAAATCATGCCTCACCAATGTATTAGAATTCTCTTGAGAGGGTCAACAAACATGTGAACAAGGTGGTCCAGTGGATATAATGTAGTTGGACTTTCAGAAAGCCTTTGAGAAGGTCCCTCAACAAAGGCTCTTAAGTAAATTAAGCAATCATGGGGTAAGAGGGAAGGTCCTCTCATGGACCAGTAACTGGTTAAAGGACAGATAATAAAGGGTAGGAATAAATGGCTAGTTTACAGAATGGAGAAGGGTAAATAGCAGAGTCCCCCAGGGATCCGTACTGGATCAGTGTGTTCAACATATTCCTAAATGATCTAGAAAAAGGGGTAAACAGTTTGCAGGTGACACAAAACTACTCAAGATACTAAAATCCAAAGCAGATTGTGAAGAGTTCCAAGGAGATCTCATAAAACTGGATGACTGAGCAACAAAATGGCAGATGAAATTCATTGTTGATGAACGCAAAGTAATCATATTGGAAAACATAATCCTAACTATATATACAAAATGATGGGGTTTAAATCAACAGTTACCAGCTGAAAACATCAACTCAATGTGGAGTGACAGTCAAAAAAGCTAACAATGTTGGGAACCATTAGGAAAGGGGTAGATAATAAAACAGTAAATATGATAATGCCACTATATTAATCCATGGTATGCCCACACCTTGAATACTGCATACAGTTCTGGTCGCTCCACCTCAAAAAAAAATGATTAGAAATGGAAAAGGTACAGAGAAGGACAACAAAAATGATTGGGGGTATGGGACAGTGTCCACATGAGGAGAGATTAAAAAGACTGGGGTTGTTCAACTTGGAAAAGAGCTGACTAATGGGGGATATAATAGAGGTCTGTAAAATCATGAATGGTTTGGAGAAAGTAAATAAGGAAGTGTTATTTACCAGTTCAAGTAACACACGAACTGGGGTCACCCAATGAAATTTATTAATAGGCAGCAGGCTTAAAATGAAATTCACACAACACAGTCAACTTGTGGAACTCATTGCCAGGTGATGTTTTGAAGGCCAAAAGTATAACTGGGTTCAAAAAAGAATTAGGTAAATTCATAGATGATCGGCCCACGAATGGCTATTAGACAAGATGGTCAGGGATGCAACCCCATGCTCTGGGTATCCTAAGCCTCTGACTGCCAGTTGCTGGGACTGGACGACAGGGAATGGATCACTTGATGATTGCCCTGTTTTGTTTATTCTCTTGGAAGCATCTGGCACTGGTCACTGTTGGACGACAGGATACTGGGCTAGATGGACCATTGGTCTTGACTCATTGTGGCCATTCTTATATTTACCCTACAGATTTCCTTTCCTGCATTACTGAGCTGTCAGCCCTGCCTCTGTTCTGCCAGAGACGCCAACCTGCCATGTCCATTAGTCCTGTTTCCCTGGAGATACCGCCATGCTCTCTGCCATGCTTCCCCCATATACAGGAGTTGCCCTTGTCAAAGTCCCCAGAGTTACTACGTTGTCCTACTTCAAATCCCTGCAGTTGCCTTCCGCTATGACATGCGCAAAACACCCGGGAGCAGTGGCTTGGCAGTGGGTGTGCTAGGTGGCTTCCCTCCTACCTTGTCCTTCCCCTTCCCTTGGTTTGTTGATTTTTCTCCCCCGGATTGTGAGGTCTTCGTGCAGGGATTGCCCTTTTATTGCCAGTGTGTGCAGCATCCATCGCTGGTGCCATGACCCAGACTGAGGGGCCAGGTGCTATCGTGATGCAGATAGTCCATAAAAAGACATTCCACTTCAAAATGCCGTGTGTTTTCTATTGACAGCTCCCACCTGCACCACAGAGGAGGCTGGAGGTGGGATCAGTTGGGGTTTTGGGCTCCTGGGAGGCAGTTTGGGTTGATAGGGTAAGGACGTTGGGCAAGTGTTTCTGATTAAATGATCAGCAGTGACACGATTAATTATCTTTGCATTTAAATTTACATTCCAACTGCTTTCCCTGGGTTTCAGAGTTACAATCCATTGAGCTGGGCCCTCTCTGAGCTATTGTTTCAGGCTCCGTGCAAGTGTCATTCCCCATAATTTAGCTTATTGTTTTAGCATCCCCTGGGAATTGTATAGAAAGAGTTTATATGGAAGTATTTGCAGTACAAGCCCCAGAACTGTTAGCCCATGGACTTTGAGAAAATTCATTCTAATACACTAAGTTACTGTATATTGAACCACTAGTGAAAGAAACAAGAAACTTGGGACTGCTCATGAATGATATGTACCCCTTGAGCCAAACCATATTGACCATTGGGTTTGTGGCTGTTTGGGAACTTGGGACACTTCCTCTGCAGTTTAGAGTGGGAGGCAGAAGTTATAAAGCAAACCAGCACCAACAAGTTTAGCAGCTAAAATAAGTCACCCAGAAACAGGTAGGCCATGTTCCAGAATACAACACGTATGAAGGAAGGTGTCCCTGTGAGAACATGGCTCGTGCGCTGCTTGTGCTCAGAACTATCAGAGATGAAATTCAAATCCTGCATGGCATTTGCTTTTGACTTTCAGAAATCGGCTCCATTTCAGAAAGGGACCAGATATGTGGAGTTGGTCTTGGTCGTGGACAATGCGGAGGTAAGGGGAACAGGCTGAGACCAGCATTTCATTCTCCACTGCTGTCATGTACTACTTGTATACGGTAGGTTACAAGACTGCAATTAGCAGGTCTGGTTTCTGTACCAGATATGGACTTGCTATAGAGTTTCCCTCCCAGAGACACCAGAGCGATTCAGTACAAGAACCTTCAATGCACTGCCAGGAAATGGCTGTTGTGAGCTTATGTAAGGTATGTTATAGATGCCACCACTTGTGGCTGAACAATACAATATAGTTTACCATTCCATTACATCTCCCCCTTTAACTTCTACATTCCTTCCATTACAATATTTACACTATCACACTGTCTTTGAAGTTCAGTACGGATCAGTGTCTTTGAATTGTACTTTTTTTCTAATTACACAACCTGAACGTGTAATAACATGGTCATTTGGCTGTCCATGAGTTGTGACGACTGTCTCTTGTCTGTTTGGAATCTGTGAGTCATCATCGTCTTGTTCTGCATCTGCTATCTATAGAGTTTGTTCTGTTGATTGTTATTTCTGAGGAATAAATTGGAGATGTCGATATTTTCTGAGGAACTCTCCACTGTTGGTCTCGATCACATATGATCTGGGCAATGAGTTCTTTTCCTTTATAACAGCTGGAGCTTTTCTGCATCCAGCTTGACACAAACATGGTCACCAGGGTCTAGACCTGGCAGTTCCCTAACTGAGTGACATCTGTTATAAAAATGTTTGTAAGCTTTTTTTGCCTTTTTATCTGATTTGGCTACTCTCTTCATGTCTGGATACATTCTTTTCCAAAGTTGGACCAGTAGTTCTGTGTTATCTTCCCATCAGGAGTTGTGTTGGACTATATGTTGTCAGTGTTGATCTGTAACTCAGAAGAATAAGAAATGAATATTCCTGCTGTATTATTTTCTTGGCTGTCCATACAACTTTTTCAGCCTCTCCATTCGCTTGTGGGTAAAGCAGCTGCTAGTAATGGGATCAAAATCTTATTTCATTTGGAATTACTTAAATTCTGCTGCGGTGAATTGTGGTCTGTTGTCTACCACTAGTTGTTCTGGAATACCAAAATGAGCGAAAGTGGACTTCAGTTTCTCTATAACACTGCAACATGTTATGTCTTCCAAGTGCGTTATTTCTATATACTTGGAAAAATATTCCATGATGACAAGGTAATGCTGTCTTCTGAATTTGCATAAATCTGCAGCTAGTCTCTTCCAAGGTCTGTCTGGCAGAGGTGTTGTTATTAAAGGTACTTTGTCTTAGTTCTGAAATGTTCACTTGCAGATATTTTATTCTTTATGTCCTTGCTGATGCACAGCCACCACACTGGTTGGCCCATTCACAGCATTTAGTTAATTCTTGATGTCCTTCATGGATGAGGTTTAGGATTTCTCCTGTCATTTTGTTTGGAATTGCAATGCAATTCCCTTTAATCATTGTGACATACCAGGGCACAATCCAGACCAGTGAGCAGCTGTGTCATCCCTGCCCTGCAACGTTGGATGCCCTACAATGCCCTGCTAAAGGAGCTCCCACCTGGGTCTCCCACAAATAGCCCTCCAGCATGCAAGTCACACCCCTAGTGTCTGTGTGCAATTGTAGCCTGCCTGCCACACTCTGTCTCTCACCAGCCTTGTGTCTGTAGCCTGTCCCCTGGCTATGTGAGGTGGAGCCATCGTGACCCCTCTCAGTTCCTTCTCACCACCTGTTGGGTGGAGTGGGAGCTCTGTGTGGTTGTAGTCTAACAACTTTGCATTTATCCTTTCTTAGCCTAGTTTGTTGTACAATTAGTCAGTTAGTGTTTGTTAGTAAACTAAAAAAAAGAAGAAAGCCATAGAATGTAGGGGTAGTGCTCTCTGGTGATGCCCTCACAGGGGTTCAAGCGCTGCCCTTCATGTGGAGTGGCGATCCCTAAGAATGCCCCCCCTCCACACACACACACAGTGCTTGCTCTGCCTTGGCAAAGCCCACCTTTAAAAGTGCTGTTCGATCTGTAGATCATTTAAAAAGAAGACTCAGGTGTCATGGGGCCTTTGCCGCAACAGCACCTGCTTGAACAGGCCGTGTAGCCTGACCCAGCACTGAGGCCCTCCTCTGGCCACAGATCACCTTCCAGTTTGGAAAATGCTGCTGCTGCTGCTTGCTTCAGGGCAGGCGCCTCTCCAATGAGGCGCAGAAGCTGTTCTCCATCGTTGGCCCAAAAGAAGAGCTCTCATAAGACCAACCATGAGTGCTCCAGGTCGTGGGGTGACTCTTCTGCCTCCCCTAAGAGCTCAGGCTGGGCGGGACTGGCTCCAGCACACAGGATGGTGCGGCACCAAGTAGGGAGGGCAGAAACCCTGTTCCGTCAACTCTGGCTCTGGCCGCCCGGCATCTGTTGAGTCTGGTGCTGATAGGAGCAATACCAGTAACCACTATGTTTGTGACATCGGCATACCAGGCTTCAGTGGACCTACTCTGCATTTCAGTCCCATCCTTACTGCTGGTCCAAGACTTTGCAAGACTGGCGCCTTCAGTAGCTCCATAGATGGAGCATGCCTCTGAACCGTTGGGCCCCTCGGCACTGCACTTAGATGCACCGTCTCAGTCGTTGGGATGGGAACGGCACCAAAGTCAATATGGGGTACCTCAGTACTGATACCCTCCTCAGCACTGGTGCAATCAATGCCACAGGTGCGTCCATGGCGGTTGTCACCATGCTCGACATCTAGGCACTCAGGTGCTCCAGTGCCACTGTTTCCTCTCCAACCTTGCTTTTGGCGCTGATATATTTGGTATTAGTGATACCGGCTTCATCGGGAACACAGAGTCCAATCTCATTCTGGTCGATGGATGAGCCGGATCACCTTTTGGTTCCCTCAGGGTTGCTTTGCCTCTGTCCCCTAGATCCCAGGGCTCCTCCACTTCAGAGTCAGGATTATCATCCTCCCACTCCCTTTTGCCTGAGGAGGACTGAAGGCCACCAGTGGAGCAGTATGGCTACCAGGGTTGGCATGTGCCCTGAGGCTGGGATGGAGGCCCCTGGCCTGGTGCCTACTGGCCACCAATGCCTTACCCATACCAGGGGCCCCCTGGCCTCAGTGGGACACTCTTCTCTCCTGGAGGTCTCATTCGTCGTCCCAGTCAAAGGTGAGATCACCCATCTGCTCTGCGTTGGTGGCTGCAGATCAGCCACAGGCTCAAGCTCCCACGTCTCCCGGTCCTCTGGAGCCTTTGGACTTTCCCAGTCCGGATATGTTATCCCAGGAGCAGGACCCAGCTGTGGCTCAGCCAAGGTCCTCATCCCTGTACAAGATGGTGCTGCTGGGTTCATCCTCCCCTTCCACCCCAGAGAGCTTTAAGGCATACTAGCACCTTTTACACTAGGTGGCTTCATCCCTGGGTATTCAAGTGGAGTTTCTCCAGGAGAATACCCACAAACTCGTGGACAATTATCCGCCCTCTGATCCTGGGAAGGTGCCACCCCATAAATGATGCACTCCCCAGTAAATGATGCAGTTCTCAAACCTGCGAGAGACATTTGGGGTACTCTTGCCTCAGTATCACTGGTGGCTAAGTGCTTGGAGAAGCGCTATTTCATGCCTGCACTGGGATATGAAGGGTTCTATTCCCATCTGGTCCCAAACTCCCTGATGGTCATGGCAATGAATGACAGAGCCCAGCAGGGCTGGTTCAAGTCCACATCAAAGGACAGAGACTCTAAGCGGCTGGACCTTTTGGGCAGAAAGATATATACCTCATTGTCACTAGATGACGATCGCGAATCAGCAAATTTTGCTGTCCAGATATACTTTCTCATTCGGTTTCAGAGTAACAGCCGTGTTAGTCTGTATTCGCAAAAAGAAAAGGAGTACTTGTGGCACCTTAGAGACTAACCAATTTATCTGAGCATAAGCTTTCGTGAGAAAGCTTATGCTCAGATAAATTGGTTAGTCTCTAAGGTGCCACAAGTACTCCTTTTCTTTTTTCTCAATCGGTTGGCTGTGTCCCCCTATGTTTTCTCAGCGTGGGGCATCCTCACGATCAATCTATTTGCGATGAGAGAAAACAGGAAGTGTTGTCTTTTCTGCTGTCAGTTGTGGGGGACCCAGCCCGGGCTCGCTCTCTGATGCCTTCCACTGCTGCTGGCAGTCGACTACACGCCTTCCCTCCAGTTCCAATTGTTCCTAAGGTCATCACCAACCTCAAGGAGGATTGAGCCAGACTCATCCTGATCACGCCAGCATGGCCGAGACAGTGCTGGTTCTCAGACGTCCTCGCTCTGTCTGCCCAGCCTCCCATGCTGCTTCTTCTCCGCCCTAACCTCCTCACAGAGGGCCATGGCCGCACCCTGCATCTGGCAATCAGCTCCCTGCACTTTATGGCATGGATGCTGCATGGCTGAATGAGGAGGAAGAGCATTGCTTAAAGGCTGTCCAGCAGGTCCTACTTATCAGCAGGAAGTCTTCCACTTTACTAAGTAGGCCATCCTAGTGGGAGAGGTTTTCTGTGTGGTCCTCAGTCTGCAGGACCCATCTGGTGGGGTCTTCCATCCAGGACATCTTAAAGTACCTGCCACACCTTAGAAATTGGGCTGGGCACTCAGTTACCTGAGAGTGCACTTGGCAGCAATATCAGCATTTTATCTCCCCCCCCCCCCCATCCAAGGGAAATCGTTTTTTTCCAATGCTATGGTGACAAGGTTTCTCCAGTCCGAGAGACAGCCCCCCTTTGGGACCTGACCATTGTTTTAGCAGCTCTGAAGAGGCCTCAATTTGAGCATTTTGCATCCTGTCTTCTGCTCCTCTTGTCTCAGAAAATTGCGTTCTTGATAGCCATTACCTCTGCCAGGAGGGTGGATGAATTGAATGCCCTGATGGCGGGGTCCCCCTACATGCAGTTCTCCAGGGACAAGATAACACTCCGACCACACCCTAAGTTCTTATCCAAATTGGTCTCTTAATTTCATTTGAGCCAGGCTGTGTGTTTTCCTGTGTTCTTCCCTAATCCACATTGCTTCCGGAGGAGCAGTGCCTCCATATGTTAGACATGAGATGGTGTCTATCCTTTTACCTGAACAGAACTGAACTGTCTCATGCTTCGCCTCACCTGTTCTTGTCATATGTGGACCGTATGAAAGGACAAGTGGTCTGTGCACAGGCCATCTCCAGATGGATAACATTTTGTATCAGGACTGCGTATGAAATAGCACCAGCAACGCCTCCTCAGCAGATATGAGCTCATTCGACAAGAGCACAGGCAGTGTTGGTAGCGTTCCTTAATGACATTTTCATATTAGACATTTGCAGGGCAGCCACATGATCATCCATCCATACATTTACAGACCATTATGCTATCACTACATCTTCCTGAGCAGACACTAGTGCAGTGGTTCTCAAACTTTTGTACCAGTGACCCCTTTCACACAGCAAGCCTCTGAGTGCGACCCCCCCCCTTATAAATTAAAAACACTTTTTTATACATATTTAACACCATTATAAATGTTGGAGGCTAAGCGGAGTTTGAGGTGGAGGTTGACAGCTCGCGACCCCCCATGTAATAGCCTCGTAACCCTCTGAGGGCTCCCGACTCCTGGTTTGAGAAGCCCTGCACTAATGTCAGAGCAGTCCTGCGATCCTTACTCTGATATATTTCAAGCCCCACCTCCTACAGGGAGTACTGCTTGTGATTCACCTACTTGGAATACACCTCTGCATCTACTTGAAGAAGAAACAGTTATTTACTGTAACTGTGGTTCTTCGAGATGTGATGCAGACGTGTATTCCACGACCCACCCTCCATCCCCTCTGCATCGAGGTAGTTCCTTGAACGTTCAGTGTGAAGGAACTGAGGGGGGTTGTGGTGGCATTGCCTCATATAATCAGGGAAGGAGCGACAGACACAAGACATGAGCGCCACCCCTCTACAGGTACTGCTAGGCAAAAGTCTCCAGCTGCGGCGTATGGGGCGTGCACACACTTTTACCTAGAATACCCATCTGCATCAGATCTTGAAGAACCACAGTTGCAGTAAGTAACTGTTTCTTATATTAGGTCCGTTATTTCTTTAAAAGGAATAATATGCCAACTTATTATTTCAAGTAGTTATTCAGGCACTTTGATTTAAACACACTGCATTAGATGAAACAATAAAACAAGTTCATCAACTGCAAAGTGTTAGATTTGAAGTGCATACAAGTAATGAGGCATAAAAGTCGGAAACAGTTACAAGAAAAATAAAGATAAAATTCAACTGGTGCCTCACTTAACAAACTATGTTAAATACAAAGCAAAGTTTTCTCACCACACGTTTTTCAGCAGTTTTACTGACCAAACTTCTTAGGTCAGAACTCCTCCCCTAGTCCATGAGCTGCTTCTTTTGTCTCTTCAGATGCAGTGAATCGATGGGCAGAGAGAGAGAAGGGTGCCTTAGGTGTTTGTCCTTCCTTTTCATAGTTTCAGTCACCCCTCTTGAAAAACATTTCTAGCTGGGTACCAGGAGACAAAAAGTCTATGTGGAAGAGGTTCCCTGCTGCTTTGTTCTCACCTGTTTGCGCTTCTTTTGTTTTCCTTCCTGCTTGATGACTCTGTTTATGGCTTAAATGCAAATTAAGCAGAGCACCCATTCTTTTGTTTCAGACAGACCTGCTTGGAACGTGTGTTAATAACACCATATAGTGGAATCTTATAAATTCATATACAATGTTGCCACACATATTTTTCCAGGACAATAATGACCAGCAAATTCTGAGTTTTCAAATGATACTTCACAAGGCATATTTTGTACAAACGTTATTACAATAGTGTGAAGGGTGGGAACACAGGGGTATATTCTGTCACAATCATGAGTCCATTTGACTCTCTTAGTTACCCACACACTGCATAGTCTCTTGTCCCTTCCTTAGTGTCCTTTAGATACTTGGACCAACCAGCCCTAATGTAATTTAGATCTTGAAGTTGCATGTCTCTCAAGGTTGCTTGTTGAAGCTGGTGTAGTCTCTTTTCCGGCACTGGTCTGTATGTGTCTACACATCCACGTACAGCTTTACATCATCTTTGAGTTAATGGGTAGATTAGTGTGATGCTGGGATATGTGACAGAGGGTCTGCTACTACCACATTTTGCTCAGGAACATATTTAGCAATTTGATTAAATTGCATTAACCGTAGCAATAGACTTTCGTGTCTCAGTGGTCTTGATCCAAGTGCTTGATCTTTTCCACTGATGAGGGTTATAAGTAGTTTATGGTCTGTTATCAGTGTAAATGAATCCAGTCCACACAGGTAGCTCTAAAAGTTCTCTCATCCCCATACACTTGCCAGATGCTCTTTTTCAATCTGTGCATTTCGTTTGTCTGCGTCTGTGAGTGTGTGAAAGCAAAATGCATCTGGCTTCCACTCAGGTCCATGTTGCTATAAGACTATACCACCTAGGGCATAGCTGCTTACATCTGCGCTGACCCCCATTGTGGGTTTGTTCACATCACAGTATTTGAGAACTTAGCTTACTAGAGAGTTACACCAGAAGTGTTCACTATAGGATCCTTTAATACCCTGCCAGGAATGGCTGTTGTGAGCTTAAATAAGGTGTGTTACATGTGACACACCCACAGGCTGAACAACCATACGGTTGAGCATTCCATTACAGCAGCTTAATTGGAAATCTCTTTGTTTCTTCCCTTAGTACAAGAAATCCAAAGACATGCGGATGATTCAGAATCGCATGAAGGAAATTGTAAATCATGTTGACAAGGTAACAGTGAGGTATCCCCAGGCTGCAGTGAGGATGGGGTCCTGTCCTGCAATTCTTGCTCAGGCAAAGCTCCCAGCACTGCTAAGACCGTTCCCACCGACTCCCATGTTGTAAGGCTGGCAGAACTTGTCCCATGGTTTGCTTGCAACAATGAACTCTTGATACACAGACGAGTCAAAATACAAGATCACTTTCCTGTTTAAGGGACAAAAGACCATTGCTCCAGTTTTCAGCCTATATAAGAATAGAAACTGGGGCTGATTGGAATGTCTTCCTGTGCAAAGTACGGGGCCCATCTCAGTCCTGCTAGGCAACCAACCAGATGGAAAATTTATTAACACATTCTCTGTATCATGGTGTTTGTGGCAGGCACTTTCGAGAGACAATTGTTTGCAGTGTGTAAGCAGCGTGCTGGGGCAGTACAGAACGGGAGAAATGGCACTTACAGACTCAGGCCTGATCTGGCAGGTTCCTGAGCACTCTGGCCCTGATCCAGGAGAACCCATAAGGATGTGATTACCTTTAGGAATATATGTAGACCCATTGATTTCACAAAGGCTGGCCTAAGGCTCAGGCCCTAGTGGGGCTGCTGCTGGGTGCCCGCTAGTACTGCGTGTCATGCCACTGTCTAGCCCTAAATTAGTCTGGGAGAGTTCAGTTCTCCTCAGAGCAGCACAAGTGCCCTTCCCGTTGCTTTTGGGATTGCCAAATCATGTGGCCCAGAGCTGCAGGCCAAACAAGAATGGTGAAAACTACCGGGGTGTTAAAAGCTGACTGAAATGTGACGGCTTCCTCCTGATCCCTTTGATACGGATCCACAGGCAGAGCCTGGCCTGGGGGGGGGAAGCAGCAGTAGAGGCTATGGGTTTGGAATTGCATTCTGAGTGAAAACGATGAATTCTCCCTCTCCCAGAAGGGCACAAGGCTCAGGTACCAAGCCTCCGTCCTGAGTGTTGCCAAGTGCCATCTTTGTGTGGAGAGATTCTGTCTCCTGCAGTCCAGCTCTAATACAGTCTCGCTTTCTGCTGCAGCTTTATCAGACTCTTAATATCCGTGTGGCCTTGATAGGCCTGGAAGTCTGGAGTTACAAAGACAGGATCACTGTGAGTCCAAACCCAGACACCACACTGGACAATTTTCTTCACTGGCGAGAGTCTGAACTGTTACAAAAGAAGAAGCATGACAATGCCCAACTGATCACGTAAGCACTGCCATTACACTGCCCACAACATGAGCCAAGGCTGCTGACCGTGGGCACAGGGCGCTGGGGAGCCCAATGCTGGGGCTGGGATACTTACAGTATCTGATGCAGTAGGAATGCCCAGATGTGGTCTAATGTCCGTTGTTGGGTTTAGCGTGCGAATGCTGGGTGGGATTGGTGGCCTGTGATACAGACTGGGTGATCTGGTGGCCCCTTCTGGCCTTAGACTCTGTTACTCTGAATTGTGTGTGGCAATGCTAGCGTGGTAGGACTGGTCAGAGAGAGCAGTGCAGGCATCCCTGACTCTGAGAGGGCTGGTACAAGCTGCTTCAGAGGGCGGGGCAAGAACCATGAAGTGGCCAGTTCTGGGATAACCTTCCCACAAGTGACATGCCTTCCTGACCTCCATCAGTTAAGTCTTGGGGGTCATTCCCCAGAGCAGGAGGATTTAGATCTCTTGCAAATTTTTGGTATAAATGGAGATGTTGCTGGGAGCTGCTGGTGGGGTTTCTGGTTTGCTGGGAGCTGTGGGGTTGCTGGGGTAGCTGGGGGGACATGTGGGGAAGTTGGGGGGAGTTTGGTTAGCTGGGATATGTGGGGAGTAATATGTAGACAGGGCTATAGTTGATGTGGTACACTGTGTTTGGGGGACACAGTACCAACACTAGCATGCTGTGCCACTGGCCACGGATGTGGCAATGCTGCTTGAGGCCACAGTACTAATTGTGGATGATGTTTGTCCTTTTATGAGTGTTTTGCCTTCCTGCAGAGGCATAGACTTCCAAGGCACAACGGTGGGACTGGCCAAGAAGTATGCAATGTGCACCAGGGACTCAGGAGGAGTAAATCAGGTGGGGCTTGATAACTGCTTCCATTCTAAGCAATAGAAGAGGGACAGAAGTGAGATCCCAGAGCTGGGGGCACGCCAGGGCCTGATGGCAAAGAAATCACCCTCTGCTTCTGGCTGATCTGTACCATTGGCTCCATGGCTTCCCATGCTCTTCCTGTCTCCCCATCAAACTGAAGGCTCTCTGTGCTTTGCCTTTCTGGCTGCGAGTGACACATGCTCATGCAACCAGGGAGGGGCTATCTCCAGCTCTATCCAGCTGTAGGCCTCTCTGTACTGGCTCAGGGAGATCAGAAAGGCCAAATCCTGCCCAAATGGCACATTCCATTGTGATCTGTGACCTAAACACTTAGGGCCACACTCAGCTGCCTGTGAGCAGCTTTGATTGGTTTGACCAGACTTGACCCTGGGGGTGCTGCAGGTACCCACCATTGACATGGACGGAGATGTATGGTGGACGAGTGGCTCCTGAGTAGCCTGGAGCTTTCTCTGGGGTGGAATGTACAATGTTCAAACTCTCTTTTTACAAATGTTTCAAACACATGGAAAGAGCCCAGCTGCTTTCCCAAAACAGCTACAGTGACACAAGACCTTTCCTTTTTAGCTGCCTGGGACTTGATTTATATATTAAAAAAATCAGACTCTTTGAATGTTCCCCTTCACCCTTTCTCTATCCACACCCAAGCCTCTCAGCCCAAGAAGTGAGCCCTCAGGAACTGAAATTGTTATTAAATCTCCATTTGGGTCCGCGCTGTTGTATTCTCTATTTACTGGAATTGTAGTAGTTGACTTCTGGTTTTCTAGCCAATTAGGGCGGCAATGGAGCTTGATTTCAGAGGAAACATAAGAACGGCCATACTGGGCCAGACCAATGGTCCCCTGTTCTGTTCACTCCCTCTAAAGCCTCTGGTAGCAGCCACTTCTGACAGTGGCTGCTACCAGAGGCTTTAGAGGGAGTGAACAGAACAGGGCAATTACCAAGTTAACCATCCCCTGTCATCTAGTCCCATCTTCTAGCAGTCAGATACTTAGGGACACTTAGAGCATGAGATTGCATCACTGACCATGTTGGCTAATAGCTATTGTTGGATCTATCCTTCATGAACTTACCTAATTCTTTTTTGAACCCAGTTATACTTTGGCCTTCACATCATCCCACGGCAACGAGTTCCACAGGTTGACTGTGCGTTGTGTGAAGAAGTACTTCCTTCTGTTTGTTTGAAACCTGCTGCCTATTAATATCATTAGGTGACCATGGTTCTTGTACCATGTGAAGGGGTAAATAAAACTACCTTATTCATTTTCTTCACATCATTAATGATTTTATAGATCTCTATAATATCCCCCCTAAGTCAGCTCTTTTCTAAGCAGAATGGTCCCAGTCTCCTTAATCTCTCCTCATGTGGAAGCTGTTCCATACCCCTAATCATTTTTGTTCCCCTTCTTTGTACCATTTCTAATAGACCTTTTTTGAGATGGAGTAACCAGAACTGCATGCAGTATTCAAGGCATGGTCGTATCAGGGATTTCTATAGTGGCATTTTGATATTTACTGTTTTATTCTCTCCCCCTTTCCTAATGGTTCATAACATTCTGTTCGCTTTTTTGACTGTCGATGCACATTGAGCGGCTGTTTTTATGTCTTCCAATGTGCGTTATTTTGCATTTATCAACATTTTGTTGCTCAGTCACCCAGTCTGTAAGATCCCTTTGGAACTCTTCGCAGTCTGCTTTGGACTTTGGTATCTTGAGCAATTTTGTATCACGTGGAAACTGTGCCACCTCACTGTTTACCCCTTTTTCCAGATCATTTATGACTAAGCTGATGAACAGCACTGGTCCCAGTACAGATCCCTGGAGGACACTACTAATTACCTCTCTCCATTTTGAAAACTGACCATGTATTCCCACCCTTTGTTTCCTGTCTTTTAACCAGTTACTCATCCATGAGAGGACCTGCCCTCTTATCCATGACTGCTTACTTTGCTTAAGAGCCTTTGTTGAGGGATCTAATTAAGGGCTTTCTGAAAGTCCAAGTACACTATATCCACTAGCTCACCCTTGTTCAAATATTGGTTGACCCCTTTAAAGAGTTCTAATACATAATATCCTTTTATAAGTCGTGTTGACACTTCCCCAACAAACTGTGTTCACCTATGTGTCTGATAAATCTGTTCTGTACTATAGTTTCAACCAGTTTGCCTGGTACTGAAGTTAGGCTTACTGGCCTGTAATTGCCAGGATTGCTTCTGGAGCATTTAAAAAAAGTTGGCATCACATTAGCTATCCTCCTGTCATCTGGTACAGAAGCTGATTTAAGCGATAGGCTTCATGCCACAGTTTGTAGTTCTACAATTTCGTATTTGAGTTCGTTCAGAACTCTTGGATGAATCCCACCTGGTTGTGGGGACTTATTACTGTTTAATTATCAGTTTGTTCCAAAACCTTCTCTTCTGACTCCTCAATCTGGGACAGTTCCTCAGATTTATCACCTAAGAAGAATGGCTCAAGTGTGGAAATCTCCCTCACATTCTCTGCATTGAGCACTGATGCAAAGAATTCATTTAGCTTCTCCGCAATGGCCTTGTCATTCTTGAGTGCTCCTTCAGCACCTTGATTGTCTAGCTGTGGCCCCACTGATTTTTTGGCAGGCTTCCTGCTTCTGGTGTACTTAAAAAAATTTTGCTGTTAGTTTTTGTGTCTTTTGCTAGGTGCTTTTCAGATTCTTTTTTTAGCCTGCCTAATTATACTTTTATACTTGACTTGTTTATGTTCCTTTCAATTTTTCTTAGTAGAATTTAACTTCTGATTTTTAAAGGATGCCTTTTTAACTCTAACTGCCTCTTTTACTCTGTTTAGCCATACTGTCATTTTTTTGGTCCTCTTACTTTTTTTTTTTTTTTTTTGTCATACACATTTAATTTGTGCCTCTATTATGGTGTTTTTTAAAAATTTCCATGCAGTTTGCAGACATTTCACTCTTGTGACTGTTCTTTTTAATTTCCATTTCACTAGCTTGCTCATTTTTGTGTAGTTCCCCTTTTTGAAGTTAAATGCTTCTGTGATGAGGGCTTCTTTGGTATTCCTCTCCCACAAGGATGTTAAATTTAATTACATTATGGTCGCTATGACTGAGCAGTTCGGCTATATTCACCTGTTGGACCAGACCCTGTGCACCACTTAGGACTAAATCAAGAATTGCCTCTCCACTTGTGGGTTCAAGGACTAGCTACTCCAAGAAACCTACGTTAATGGTGTCTAGAAATTGTATCTGTTTTCTGTCCTGAGGTGACATGTACCCCAGTCAGTATGCAGATAGTTCAAATCCTCCATTATTATTGAGTTTTCTATTTCGTAGCCTCTCTCATCTCACTGAGCATTTCAAAATCACCGTCACCATCCTGGTCAGGTGGTCAATAGTATATTCCTACTGCTAGAGTCTTATTATTCAAACATGGAATTTTCTATCCATAGAGTGTCTATGGTACAGTTTGATTCATTTAAGATATTTACTGTATTTGATGCTATGCTTTCTTTTACAGAGAGTGCCTCTTCCCAACCAGCATGACCTTTTCTGTAATTCCTGTATATTTTATACCCTGGTGTTATCGTGTCCCATTGATTATCATCAGTCCACCAAGTTTATGTGATGCCTATTGTATCAATGTCCTCATTTAAAACCAGGCACTCAAGTTCACCCATTCTAGTATTTAGACTTCTAGCATTTGTATACAAGCACTTATAAAATGTGTCAATATTTAGTTGTCTGCCTTCATGTGATGTAAATGAATGGGACTTTTTTTCATTGGGCTGTTTCTCTTCAGCTCCTATCTGTACTTTATAAACGTCTATCCTTTCCTCTTTACTAAGATATAGAGAATCCCTGTTAATGGATCCTCCCCTAAGAGATGTCTCTGTCTGAACTGTGTGCTCCTCCACACTTGTTAGTTTTCCCCCAGGCTTTAGTTTATAAACTCCTCTATGACCTTTTTAATTTTACCTTCCAGCAGTCTGGTTCCATTTTGGTTTAGGTGGAGCCCATCCTTCCTGTATAGTCTCCTCCTTTCCCAAAAGGCTCCCCAGTTCCTAATAAACCTAAATTTCTCCTCCCTACACCATTGTCTTATCGATGCATTGAGACCCTGCAGTTCTGCATGTCTAACTGGCCCTGCACTTGCAAGCATTTCAGAGAATGCTACTATGGAGGCCCTGGACTTCAATCTCTTACTTAGCAGCCTAAATTTATCTTGACATTGAACCAGACAAGAAACTATGGTGATGGGCACGGTAGAAACCCAAAGAAAGATAGGACTGAAGCATTTGGTATCCACTAGCCTGTATCCTTCTTATTGTTGCATAGGACCACAGCTTGAATCCTATAGGAGCTGCCTCAACCGTGGCTCATGAGATGGGACACAACCTGGGAATGTCTCATGATGAAGACGTTGGTGGCTGCAGCTGCTTGGCCCCAAAGACCGATGGAGGATGTGTTATGGCAGCTAGTGTTGGGTAAGGAGAACAAAAAGAGAATGGCCATGGGCGTCGAGCATCACTGTCCAGTGTACGTATTGACCTCGGATTGAACACATCAGGCTGGTGCCCCTGTAGTTAAGGTACTCACTTCCATTGAAATCAATGGTAGCACTCTTATGGACTTTAGTGAGAGCAGATTGAGTCCTCATGGACATTTTCTTCTTCAGCTTTATGTTTTTTGCAAGGTTCGACTCACAGATGTTTTAGCTGTGAAGGGATAGAGGGTGTTGTGCAGTTAGTGGTGGTAAATGGAGCTTTTAACCAAAAAGTGCTGTTTGCCATAATGCCTGTTTTTCTTTCCCTCCAGCATGATTTACCCAAAGTACTTCAGCAGCTGCAGTGTAAGTGACCTGCAGAAGTTTCTTAGTGATCCCCGGACTAGCTGCTTACTGAATATCCCCAAGGCTGATGAGCTGTACGGGGTGCCTGTCTGTGGAAACCAGTTTGTAGAGCGAGGGGAGCAGTGTGATTGTGGGACACCCAAGGTATGTTGACTCCCACTGGGAGATTTTAAATAAGGGAAGGGAAGCGTGGCAGCGGAACTGTGGGTTGGTCTGGAACCCAAATGCCCTGCCACTGCATACGAGCTGACCAGAGCCAATGAGCTGTTTTTGTTGCTGCAAGCAGATTTCCAGAGCCCCTGCTGCTGTAGTTGCCTGATGAATAACACTTCCTTCCTGTGTTCTTCACTTGGTATTGCACATATTTCTGCTTAAAAGTGACTTGTGAAAGATGTTTTGCATCTTCAGTTTGTGCCCCTTGGTTTTGCTTGTTTGTGCTGGATACAGAGGGACAGAGAAGCTGTTTTGTTTTTTTTTATCGTAAACAATGATTTCTTCTGCTTGTTTCAGCTTCACACATGGCAAATGTGGCTTCCCTAGTTGTGTTTGAGGACTTTCTGGGTGACATAGAGCATATGATTCTTACTATGTATATTGCAGTAGTGCCTGAAGGCCTCAACCAAGATCAGAGTCTCAGTGTGCCAGGCACTGTACATACACCTAGTGAGGGACAGTCTCTGTCCCAAACAGCTCACAGTCTGACCAGAGCAGACAGACAGAGTAGGGGAAGGGTTTGGACACACAGGCAGAGGCCAGGCAAGGAAAGATGTGCCAGTGCCCGGTTAGGGCCAGCATTTTGTTGGGTTTTATTTTGGCATGAAAATCCCCACAGTCTCTGCTGATCCACCTAGTGGATCGGGGAACAGGCCAGAGACCTTCCCCTCTGGTGGAACCCACAGTCCAGTTCAACTTCTCCGGTATCAAGTAGGGAGTTGGGGGGAACCCGGGCCCACCCTCTACTCCGGGTTCTAGCCCAAGGCCCTGTGGATTGCAGCTGTCCACAGTGGCTCCTGTAACAGCTGCGTGACAGCTACAACTCCCTGGGCTGCTTCCCCATGGCCTCCTCCCAACACCTTCTTTATTCTCATCACAGGACCTTCCTCCTGATGTCTGATAACGCTTGTACTTCTCAGTCTTCCAGTAGTACGCCTCTCACTCTCCACTTCTTGCACCTCTTGCTCCCAGCTCCTCGCACGCACCACAAACTGAAGTGAGCTCCTTTTTAAAACCCAGGTGCCCTGATTAGCCTGCCTTAATTGATTCTAGCAGCTTCTTAATTGGCTGCAGGTGTTCTAATCAGCCTGTCTGCCTTAATTGTTTCCAGAAAGTTCCTGATTGTTCTGGAACTTTCCCTGTTACCTTACCCAGGGAAAAGGGACCTACTTAACCTGGGGCTAATATATCTGCCTTCTTTCACTCTCATGTAGGCATCTGGCCTGATCCTGTCACAATATGTATTAATGTTTCAATTTCAATTCAAATTTCCAAAAAATCACTAAATTGGCAACACTGCATGTAACTAGTTCACAAAACTGGTGAGGGTGTTGGGGAAATTCAGGGGGGTAAACACCCCCATGGGGGGCTCTAGGGAAATCCATTGCAGCCTCACTTATTCCCATTTCTATGCTTACTGTGTCTCAGGGCCAGGGTGCCCCCTTCAGGGGCATCAGGGAATCAGCGCTCAAGCTGGGTTGGTCTGTCAGGTCTACTGGCTGGGCAACAGAGCAAGTAATAGGCCAGGCCTCCTGGATGAGGACTGAGCAGGCAAACAGTCTATAGCTCAGGCCTCCCAGCCTAAGGGTTAGCACTCAACCAGGCCGAATGCAAGGCTGGAGTTGGCGGGACTTGGGCCCACCCTGCTCCACTGTGTCCCAGTCCAGGGCCCTAGAAGTAATGGGTGGTCCTGTCGTGGGGTTGGCAGGGAAACATGGGGTTGCTGCCTTGCCTCATGCTGACACAACAGGACAAATGTCTCATTTCCCTAGGCTTCTTCCTACTGGTGTCTGGTGGGCAGCTACGCAGCCACTAGGAGCTGGTTCCCAGGCCTCTTGCCGAGCAGCTCGCTCTCCATTCCCTCTTCGAGTTTCTCAGTCTCCCGGGACAGTGGTTTGCCTTCTCTCCAAACTGGCTCTGGAGAGTTGTTGCCCGCCACAGCCTATCAGAGGCTCCGCTAGTGGTTCAGCTCCCTGGGAAGGACTTCTGGCTCTTTCCCTGGTCTGGCTCCAGCTGAGCTGCAGGATCCTACTCTTATACTGCCTGTTCCACCCCTGCACTTCCTGCGAAGGGGATGGTGCACAGTTAGCTGAGCCCAGCAGGGTGAGTTAAACCCCCTCTGCATCAGAATGAGGCCATCCTGCCTCATTACACCATTACAGCAGGATCGCTTATTTCCATAACCAATTACTCCAATAACTCCATTCCATTACTGGTATAAGGCATTTCACATGAGTATAACCTACAAGGCATTGCATGGATTTAACTGGTTATCGTTCATTTGGTACAGAAAATGTGAGTTCCAGCCCCAGAAAGCCATGAAGGGTGCATATCCATTTTGTTTTCCTTTGCAGGTCCTCTTTAAAACACAGATCTGCTTTCTGTATGTAACTAGAGTTGGTCCAATAAACTGGTTCATTAATCTCTTCACAAGTAGAAGTGCTGAGTTTTGGTGGTGGTTGTTTGTGGGCTCTTACTATTTTCTATTCATGTGCATTTGGGTGAGTGCTGGATATTTATAAAATGTTCAGAAATGCCCCAAGGTTCGTGAATTTTAGCACAGTCAGTCACAGACCATTGTCAGGAGTTGCGGCATTAATGCTTAGCGTTGTCTCCAGCCAGTCTCAGGCCAAGCCCTCCTGTACATTTTTTCCGATGTTAATAAAAGTAATTATTCAGAATGACTCTGCGGTCTGTCCATTCCCACCAGTGCAGAGGCTCTGTGGTAAGACCCCTTGCTGCACACTCTGGTAGATAGGTTTCAGAGTAGCAGCCGTGTTAGTCTGTATTTGCAAAAAGAAAAGGAGTACTAGTGGCACCTTAGAGACTAACCAATTTATTTGAGCATAAGCTTTCGTGAGCTACAGCTCACTTCATCGGATGCATTCAGTGGAAAATACAGTGGGGAGATTTATATACATAGAGAACACGAAACAATGGGTGTTACCATACACACTGTAACGAGAGTGATCACTTAAGATGAGCTATTACCAGCAGGAGAGCAGGGCGGGGAGAAAACCTTTTGTAGTGATAATCAAGGTGGGCCATTTCCAGCAGTTAACAGGAACGACCGAGAAGCAGTGGAGGGGGGAGGGGGGGAAATAAAATGGGGAAATAGTTTTACTTTGTGTAATGACACATCCATTCCCAGTCTCTATTCAAGCCTAAGTTAATTGTATCCAATTTGCAAATTAATTCCAATTCAGCAGTCTCTCGTTGGAGTCTGTTTCTGAAGTCTTTTTGTTGAAGAATAGCCACTTTTAGGTCAGAAATCAAGTGATCAGAGAGATTGAAGTGTTCTCCGACTGGTTTATGAATGTAATAATTCTTGACATCTGATTTGTGTCCATTTATTCTTTTACGTAGAGACTGTCCAGTTTGGCCAATGTACATGGCAGAGGGGCATTGCTGGCACATGATGGCATATATCACATTGGTAGATGCGCAGGTGAACGAGCCTCTGGTAGTGTGGCTGATGTGATTAGGCCCTATGATGGTGTCCCCTGAATAGATATGTGGACACAGTTGGCAACGGGCTTTGTTGCAAGGATAGGTTCCTGGGTTAGTGGTTCTGTTGTGTGGTGTGTGGTTGCTGGTGAGTATTCGCTTCAGGTTGGGGGGCTGTCTGTAAGCAAGGACTGGCCTGTCTCCCAAGATTTGTGAGAGTGATGGGTCGTCCTTCAGGATAGGTTGTAGATCCTTGATGATGCGTTGGCGAGGTTTTAGTTGGGGGCTGAAGGTGATGGCTAGTGGCGTTCTGTTACTTTCTTTGTAGGGCCTGTCCTGTAGTAGGTGACTTCTGGGAACTCTCCTGGCTCTGGTAGATAAGGGGGGAGTTCCCTCTAGCACTTCCTGCTCAGATGCCTGTTTTCAGCAGCTGCCCAAAACTTCTGCAGATCTTTGGTAACTTTCTGATTAGTGCCAGGAATTTGATCAAGGAGCAGTGACTGCAGAAACCTCTCCAGGCCATGCCTCTCTTCTCTTTCTCTCCTGTGACTCACATCCTTCTTAATACACCCTTTCTATCCAGTGGGCAGAGGGTTTGGCAATGTACTCTCTGGTGCCGGAGCCCTGCCCTCTCTAGCAAGCAGTATAGAAGAAGTGGTGTTTCGCACCTTCCCATGGTGTTTAGTTTGTAATCTTGTGTTCAGGTTTGGATTTAGATTTTTGAACTTGTCAATTAAGCAAATCACTCCAAGGCAGCCAGTCTGCAAAACACAATCTTTCTCATCCCTGGTCTGAAAGTCAGCCAAAGGGAGATAGCAGCACAGAGTCATCCAAGGATCAATAGGCAGATGTTTTGTTCTCCTGGTGCTCACAGAAGGATGTTATCCTGCTATTTATCTATTCCCAGCTACTCCCCCCCTGTTACTGGCTGTGTCTTCCTGGGAGGGTACTGGCCTGCTATTCTGACATCCTTTTTCTGTAACATGGGGATAACAGTACGTCCCCTTCATTGTACAGTGCTTTGGGACCCATAGAAACATGCTATAGAAGAGCTAAGGATGATTATAATAACTATGTCCATAGTCAGAAGCTAGTAACAGATTGCTGTGTGGGTAGGAATGTGGCGTACAGATAACTTCACAGTGTACTCACAGGAGAAAACAGTGCCATTTCTGCCTACATCCCCCAGTGGTGCCATACAACAGGAGACGTACACAGCCCTTTTGCAGGAGCCCCCCTTGATGACGTTCAAAGGGTTGCTGATTTTAGGAGGTTCTCCAGGTGACTCACTGCTCCCATCCCCAATGTATCCATTCCCTAACCCATGTGTGTTGTGTTTATTAGGAATGCAGGGATCCCTGCTGCAATGCCACCACCTGCCGACTAAGTGACGGAGCAGAATGTGCTCAGGGAGAATGCTGCCAATGGTGTAAGGTAAAATCAGTCTCCGGATGATGTCTGCTAGGAGCTGCCTTGGGGAAGTCTGGCTGATTGACAACTGGGGAAAAGGGCCCAAAGAAATGAAATGAGGCCAATCCTCCAGCCCTGCTAAAGTGCCGAGCACATGGGTGCATGAACATGCTATTTCCTGGCTTTATGGTCAGCATATTTCTCCTCAAGATGAGAGTCTAAGTAAGCCCGACACGCACATGCTACTGCCAGGTTATCGGGTAAAATGGTATGAAGCCGCTGGGATGCTCAGAGATGTGAACAAACATGTCTGGCTTCTCAGGTAACCCCTAGCTACACCAAAGCAACTATACAGCTCTCTGAGTCAAGGGCTTTGTCCCGGGGGTCCCAAAGGCTGCCAGTCAATAGCATTGTAGCCCTAATTAAATGGATTAAAAACTGACTAACTGAATGTAGGCTACACTTACAGGCTGGGGGGCTGCTTTTTGGAAAGCAAGGGCTTAAAAAGGGACTTAGAGTCATGATAGGAACCAGCTGAACATGGGCTGTCAGTGGGATGCTGTACCTAGGGGTATGTCTGCACAGCAGTTGTGAGGTGTAATTCCCAGCCCAAGTGGATAGATGAGCTTGTGTGCTAAAAATAGCTGTTTGACCAGGCAGTAGCTCTGGCTAGCCACCAGAGTACAATCCCATCTGACCCCATGGGTACATACTTTGGCTTCTAGCCTGAGCCACCACCTATGCTGCCATAACCACAGTTCTGTTTTTAGCTCACTAGCTTGAACAGAGCTAGCATGCATATGTCTACCTGAGCTGGAAATCACACCTACTGTGTAGATATACCCTAAGGGGGTGAATGTGATCCTTGGCTGTATAAGCAGGGGAATATTGAGCAATAGCAAGGAGATGATGTTATCTCTGCATATGGCATTAATGCGTCCAGTTTTAGAGTCCATACTTCAGAAAGGGAATTGAAAGGGTTCAAAAAAGAGCCACAACAATGATTGAGTTCTGGAAAACCTGCCTGCCAAAGAAAGACTTAGGAAGCTCAATTTATTTAATTTACCCAAGAAAAGGTTAAGAGATGAATTGATCCCAGTCTATTAGTACCTACATGGGGAGAAGACTTTTACAGAGGGATCTTTAGTTTAGCAGACAAAGGCAGAATGAGATCCAATGACTGGAAGCTGAAGCTAAAGACAAATTCAGACTAGAAATAAAGCTTATTTTTTTAACAGGGAGGGTAATTAGCCATGGGAACAGCTGATGTAGGAAAGTGGTAGACTCTCCATCATTTGTAGTCTTTAAATCAGTACAGAATGTCCTAGTGTGAGACATCCTCTCGCTGAACCACGAGATATGGTTCTGAAACAGGAATCACCGGTGGCCATTCCTGTTGTTCAGGAGGTCACACTAGATGATCATAATGGTCCTTTCTGGCCTTAACAGCTGTGACTCTGTGGTTAAAAAAAGGTAGTTGAACTCAGTTGCTTCCAGATAACATTGTACAAATTGTTAAGGCGAACAGGTTGGGTGTGAGTCCCTGAGGAAGGGTCACATTACAAGTGGTTGAATGTTTCCAGGGCCAGCTCACATGCTAAGGATGTGTTTTCACTTTCCTGGTCCAAGCAGTATTCACCCATGACCACTTGATGTTGAAGACTGCAGGGTAGGGCTTAGCACAACTCCCCAAAGTCATACTCCAACCCCAGGTAGTTCCCTGACTAAGACCCTAGACTGAAGTCTATACCAGAGCTCCAACTGGCTTTGACTTCAGTGGGACCAGGATCAGCCCCTCCCACTCTGCCAGATCAGCAAGCCAGACAGAGAATGTGTAAGGCTAGGGTGCAGCCTGACTGATGGGCACTCGCTGACACCCCCACCCCCCCCATTCCTTGGGGATTGTGTTTGTGTTTGCTAAGGTGAAGGCTGCTGGTGTGTTGTGCCGTGCCCGTAAGAACAGCTGTGATCTGCCCGAGCACTGCACTGGCCTCTCAGCAGAGTGCCCGGAGGACGTCTTCCAAGAGAATGGTGTGCCATGCCAGTATGGGAATGGCTACTGTTACAACGGGGTGTGCCCCTCGCACAGCGAGCACTGCCGCACGCTCTGGGGTGCAGGTAACGTGGCTCTTTGCATGCGCTCCTTCAGCTCCATGCTCGCAGGGCGAGCTCACGCCAGTGCAGTGCTGTGTGTATCCATTGCTGAGGCTGCAGCACATAGACTGGGAGCCCAAGTCTCCCTCAATGCTCTCATGGGACATACACCCACCCATCCCAGCAGTGCGCATGGCACTTGGCAGGCTAGTTGCTGTAACCCAACAAAGTCAAGGGCAGTGGCTTGCACTCTGAACTTTAGGCCACTAGTTTAGGAAGCTACAGATAAGCCCAGGCCTGACTAGCTTGGCCTTGGCCTCTCTGTGAATCAGTTTCCCCACTTCACTGTGTGTAGGACAGGAGGGATTGGTGTTGCCAAATCAGCTGCCCTGGCCACTAAGTTTGAGGGCTTCAAAGTTCCTTAAGTCAGACACCCAAGATCAGAGGCTCCTGGATTCTGTGGTTGCTTCTGGAAGTATTGGCCTGAATGTTTATGAAGAGCTTTGAGATCTGGGATGGAAGGCACTAGGGACAGGCATTGTTTTATCACTAGTTTGTGTCGGAAGGGTGATGTGGGTTGTAAGGTGCCCAGTGGGGTGCAGGGAACTGTGGAGCCCCAGAGTCACCTGCCAAAGGGAGAGGGTGGTGGGGGAAGTTTTTGATGTGCCTGGTATTGGGGGAAAGGTGGGCAGAGGTGTCACCCCATGAGGTGTGGTGCTGCTCACACAGGCTCAGCTTAGCTTGCCTTTCTGAAACTCCAGCGTCAGCTCTTCTCTGTGTCCCTGCAGAGGCCCAGGTGGCCCCTGATATCTGCTTTGAGTACAATGGCCGCCAGAAGGACTACCTGCATTGCTTGACAGAGAACGGGAAAAGGCCCTGCAGCCCAAAGTAAGGAACTGAAGCACCCAGTGCCAAGGGTGTGTGAGTCTGTGCATGGGAGTGGAGTCATTGTGAACTGATCCGGAGTGGGAGGGAATCTTCACTGGGAGGTGGTGTTGTCACTGTGAGCCAGTCCTGAGGGGGAGGGGATCTCTGTGGGGCGAAGGTGGAATCATTGTGAACTAGTCCCATCGGGCAGGGGATCTCTATGGGGAGGGGGCGGAGTCACTGTGAGCTGGTCCAATGCGGGAGGGGATCTCTATGGGGACAAGGCAGAGTCATTGTGAGCTGGTCCCAGCGGAGGAGATCTCTATAGGGAGGAGGTGGTGTCCCCAAGCTGCAGTTCCCGGCCATTGTGTGAGGGGCCATGCTCCAGTCCTTCGCTTTCAGGGACAGGGCACTTTTTTTTATTTTAAGCCATGTCTTTATTTAGGAAGTTTTGACAGGTTTACAAATTCCAGCTATGTAAATATCAGAGACAATACAGTAATCATTACAGCAGTGTTTAGAGAAACACTATTCAGTTATATAATTATTGAATCTCTCTATTTAGCAGGGTTTTACCATGTTACACTGAGCACCTTTACACTACTAATGACATATCATTTCTGGTGATTTTATTAAATGTAGTGAATTCTCTGATTACACACATTTAACAGACCAGGCCTGTCTACCAAATGTTAAATAAACAAACAAACAAAAACAAGTGGACAGGTGTGCTGGTTCTTTTGCAGACGAAGGTACTTTGTCTGAATAGTGAATAAATGGTAACTAGGTATCTAAGTAACTATTTGTCCCCTACCTATTTTGTTGGGTATGTAACTGGTGTGTTAATTTTTCCATAACAACCTCCCATGTTTTTTGAACCGTTCTTCTGTGGTTAGGCTATCAGTAGCCCAGCAGCTTGGGATCATTTGATAATAAATATCCAACAGTTGGTGATATCTGGTTACGAATTTCATCCCAGTACTGTTCAGTGACTGAACATGTCCACTATATATGCATAAAATCTCTTCTTTCACCACAATTTCGCCACCATTTATCCCCATTCAATCTCTCTCACTCTCTCCTTCTCTTTCTTTCTATGTATATAGCAGAACCTGTTTAAGTTGAAACAGTATCTTAAATACATTTTCTTTTATTGTGCTACAGACTGAGGTTTACTGGTCCTGTTTTCCAGATAAAAGCCCATTCGTCTGTGGTAATTCATCTATCCACGTCCTTTTCCTACCATGCCATATATGGGCATTTTTTTGTTAGGAAAGTTATCTGCAGAGATGTCAATCAATAAATTAATTATACTTGTTTGTTTCCTAATTGAGTAGACCCCATTTCTTTTATTAAAGTTAGCTTTCTGTATAAAACTGCTTTTCTAGAAAGTCAAAAAACTTAATGCATAACTTGAAAGTACTAGTACTTGGGAGAGGAGAATGGTCCAGTTAAAGTTAGTTTTGATCTCTAAATAAGTTAGAAAAGTTTCTTTGCTGAATAACTGGCCAACTGTGCGTATTCTATGGCTTTTCAAGTCTTTAAGCTCTCCGGTTCGTGATTTGGGTTAAGATTTGTATTGTTTGCAATGGGTGTCACTGGTGAGGTAACATGATTTATTTAATCTCTAGTTCCATCCCAAACCCATAGCTTACGATAAAGAATGTGTACAGATTTCTGGAGCGTGTGATTTTTTTTTTTATTAGTCCATGGTAGTCTAGAAGAGCTTACATTGCCACAATTTTCTTCTTCAGTAAAGACCCAGTGTTTGGCTGGTTTAGAGTCAACTACTGGCTGGTTTAGAGCCCCCAGTCAACTACTGCTTTGAGCTGTCTGGTTGGATAGAATATTTGGAACAGCTAGTCCACCCTGGTTAATGGGTCAATACAAAGTATCTGGACTCACACTTGGTCTTTTCTTAGTCCATATAAATTCTAACAACATCCTCTGTATTCCTGCTAGAGTTTTATCTGGTTTGATTACCAGGAAGATTTTGAAACAAGTAAAATACCCTTGGAAAATGTTCATTTTGACTTTGGCTGTTCTTCCCAATCAAGAAATTGCATATTAGCCCTAGCACTCCAGATCTTTTTTCATTTGCTGAAGTAGTGGTTTGATATTTAAATCGTAAACCTTGTCTAGGTTGCTTAAGATACAAATTCCAAGATGCTCCGGGTGCCCCTAAACCTCCAACTGCCGGAAGCTGGGATTGGACAACAGAGGATGGATCAGTCAAAATTGCCCAGTTCTGTTCATTGCCTCTGAAGACTACTGGACTAAATGGACCATTGGTCTGATCCACTGTGACTGTTCTTGGGTATCTTACAGAATTTGTTGCCCATTTGTACCCAAATGTTTTCTGGGAGAATGACTTCTTAAGTCTGGCAAATTTAAGTCTGGCAGTTCAGATTTGGCATAATTTACTGTAAATCCAGATGCTTTCCCAAAGTCCTGGATTTCCTTATATATTAATTTTAGGGAAATATTTCACTCAGATAAATATAGTATTACATCATCTGCAAATAAAGCTATTTTTGGATGTGTTCCTGCAAGTTTTATTGCTGTGATATATTCATTATTCCTTATTCTCTGTGCAAAAGGCTCCATGGCCAGGGCAAAAAGGAGACAATGGACATCTCTGCCTAGTTCCTCTGCATAATTCAAATGGAGATTTAAATCCATTAACTCACACACCTGCTTTTGGGCTGGTGTGAAGAGCATTTTAAGGAACTGGGAACCAATGTCCACATAGGACAGGACTTGAAACAGAAAGTTCCACTCTATTCTACCAAAGGCTTTCTCTGCATCAAATGATAACAAAATAAATGGATCTTTCTTTGCTCTAGCATTATGGATGATTCCAAGGAGTCTTTGAATATTGTTTGAAATTGTCTATCCTTAATTAACCCAGTTTGATGTGAGCTTATATTCACCAAGAGCATGGACTGCAATCGGCTAGCTAGTATTTTTGCTAAAATCTGTCATGATGCAGCAGTGATATGGGCCTATAAGAACTACATATGGTAGGGTCTTTTCCAGCTTCAGGGTAGAACAACAATAGCTTCTTTGAGTGATGGTCCCTATGTGTATTCCATAGGTGGGTATACATGCCTACCTGAGTCTGGAAATTCTTCCAAGCCGTGTCCGTTGGCCTGCACATGCGCTGTACAGAGGCCTCAACTAACAGGCAGTTCCCTCCAAGCATATGCCTAGGAGCAGAACCTCCACCACTTAAGCCCAAAGACTCTTCTTCTAGGGCTAACCATGAGGGAAGAGGGCACTCCCATGGAAACTTCATGCATGGAACCTGAGGGACTGGCTCTGCTAAAGACCCCCAGATTGGAGGGCAAAGCAGTTAAAAAGTTCCATTGATCATCTGGGTACTGAAGTGTAAGGACCAATGTTCAACGGCTCCATCCACAAGCGCTGGTCCAGACCCATTGTCAGTACCACCTCATTCATCCAAGGACTGCCCTGCTGCCATGGACTCCTGGAACTTCTCGGACACCAGGGCATATGGACTCTTACATAACACCAGATGATATGTTTCTCCCTTATCAACAGTCTCAGTCTCCTCTTCTACTCATCGTATTTCTTAAAACCTTTCCTAGACCTTTGGCAACTCAACATCTTTATTTGAAAGCTGAAATTCCAGATGATTCCATTGGCGGCAGTAATCCCCTGCCTTCAGGAGGGGATGTGATCCGCAACTCTTGACATGAAGGATGTATATTTCCATGTGGACATTCACTCCTCACACAGGTTTATGATCGGCCAGGAACACTTCTAGTTTCAAATCCTCTCCTTTTGGGCAAGCAAGGGCACCCGGAGTATTTTGAAAGGTTTTCTCTGTGGTAGCAGCCCAGATGAGAAGCTAGGGCTATATGATATTGCCATACCTGGATGATTGGCTCCTGGTAAGCTGCTCACATCAGGAGATCAAGTCAGTAACAAGGTTCCTCAACAGCTTCCATCAGATCTAGGCATTCACTTAACTAGAGAATAGTCCGTTTTGTCACCCACAATGTTGATAAACCTTATAGGGGCAATTTTATACATGGTTTCCACGAGAGCGTTCCTCCCCCTCAGTCAGATTTCATATCATGAGCACCCTTATTTCACGCATTACCTGCAGACCAGGAACTAATGTGCACAGGTGCCTTTCACTGTTAGGCCTCATGGCCCCATGCACCTACTCGACACCATTCACCAGGTTCCACTTGCGGTGCGTGCAAACCTGACTCCACTCATTCTGTCGACTGGACAAGGAGCCCATTCCCACCAGAGTTATCTCCTCCATCGCCTGGTGGTCGAACCCAGGAAAGATTATGGTGGGAGTTCCCTTCCGCTCTCCCACCCACAGAGCCACCATTGTGATGGATGCCTCCCTCCTGTGGGGGGTGCTCACTTGGACAATGACATTGCTCAGGGCACCGGGACTTCAAAAGAGGCCAGACTACACATCAACATTCTGGAACTGAGGGCAGTCTGCCTTACATGCGAGGCCTTCCTCCAGCTCATACACTCACTCCATATACAGATAATGTCAGACTATATCACCACTGTGGTCTGCATAATAAGGGAGGGGCAACATCTGATCCCCTCTGCCTGGAAGCCATCAGACTATGGAACTGATGCATCAGGAACTGTATTATGATACAGGCTGCTTACCCTTCTGGATATCCACAACTCCCTTAAAGGCAGACTAAGCAGAGACTTCTTGGCAGACCACGAGTGGGAGATCTACGACACAGTCCTAAACGAGATATTTACACAATGGGGAACACCACAATGGGACCTCTTTTTATCCCAAACGAATAGGAAACTTTCCCTATATTGCTCCGCAAGAGCCATGGGTAATGGCTCCCAGGGCGATGGACAAACAACCTCAGATATGCCTTTCCTCCCATTCCTTTGCTTCCACGGTTGTAGAGAGGATATGTCACAATGAAGCCAACAGTATTCTCTTAGCACCCAGACACTTCTGATGAATCCTGTCTGCCCCCTAATTAGGATCTGCC